AATTATTTTGAATAGTGATATGATGGGAAATGTGTGGTTGAAAAAGAAGAAAAAATTATTGATGTGATGGAAAATATTATTTTATTGAAAAATGTGTGGTTGAAAATGAGAATTGATTTACTGTAAAATTTTGAGAATCCCTCCTAAACAGGGCCTAAATAAAGAACAATGATTTGCATATGATACAATTACGGAAAAAATAAAAGATGAATCAAGTGGTACTTTCTTCATTGATGGTCCGGGGGCACACACAAGACTTTTTTAGGTAAGGAGTCAAAATTTCATTGGTTTGGCGACTGCATCCTTTGGGGTAGCCACATCTCTGTTGCCTGGAGGGCGCACAAATCATTAAATATTTAAAATTTCTTTAGAAACAATTGGTGAAGTAAATTGTTGTGTTAACAAGAAAATTGGCTTTAGGGACATTGTTGAAAATGTCTAGGTTAATAATTTGGGATGAAGCACATATAGTAAATCGTTGTGCTACTGAAGCTGTGGACATAATGGTTAGAGATATTACTAATTGTAATTTGCCTTTTGGTGGGAAAGTAATCATATTTGGAGGGGATTTTCGGTAAGTTCTACCAGTGGTACCGAGAGGAAAAAATGAAGATATAATGAAAGGTAGCTTGGTTTTTTCAGACCTATGGCCTTCATATATACATTTACCATTGGTTCAAAATATAATAGCAAAATTAGATCCTACGTTTTGTGATTACTTAATTAGAATTGGAGATGGAACAAAAGAAGTACACACTTGTAAATGCATGATGCTTCCGGACAGTATAATTCTACCATTTGAAGATGAAATCACATCTTTAAAAATTTTGATACTTCATGTTTTTTCAAATATAGAAGCATACGCCGACAATTTACATGATATGTCAAACCGAGTTATTCTTACACCTACAAACGAATGTATTGACTATATTAATAGAATAAGAAACAAATATAAAGAACAAAAAATTTATATTATAAAGTAACAAATGTTCTACTAAAGCTTGAATTGCAGCAAAGCTGGTGACTCGAGCAAGGGGTAACTCAAAGCAAAATGCAATCAGGATCTAATCTTGACACTTCAATGCCTCTAGAGGATCTTCAGACTTCTTTCCTAAACCCTTGGGAGTAATTCTTCCAGTTTCTCTATCAATCTTCTCATAAAAAGCTTCTCTGAAATAAAAGACTAATCTCTGAACATGAGTTCCTTCACTGGAACTCGTTCTGTCACACTCACGCACACGTTTCATCACACGATCACACTGCTTCTCGCCTACTTTTTCAGCAGAGGACGGAAGATTCTGGACAAGCTGAATTTCTTTAGAATCTACTGTAGAGGGGCCTAGAATTGAACCTGCATATGGGTGGCTAAGTATTGAAATGTCACTAATATTTCGAGAATTTGATCGAATGAATTTTTCCAGCAGACAGTTTAATGATTATCTCAGTTGAAAGCATTGAAACACTACAATTACTGTGTTGCATCTCATAGCTCGACATATTTATCTTTTTACCATTCAATTTTCTCTGCTTATTTCCATATTTCTTCAAAATCTCAGCGACCTTGAGGAAACACGTACTCTCTTTTCTTCTTAGGTTCAATAAGCTCTGAATCTTGAGATTTGTCATTATTAAGCTTCCAAAATTCATCGTCAAATGATTGAAATGGCGGAGAGACAACACCAAGATACAAATCATCAAAGCTGAAATGAAAGGGGAAGATATTGTAGCCTCGTTGATTCTTTTACCATTTAAAAAAATAGTTGGGCCAAAAAATGAGACCCCATCCAGTTTTGGGTTTGAGTCGCGAGCCTCATCCGCCTCGACTCAAGGCCGGCCATGCATTCACCCATCCCATCACGACACCACCAGCATCTTCTTCCCATACCCATCGGCTCCAATCCCCAACACCAAGACGTCAACACTAGAGGCATCATGCGGTTTGCTGGGGAAACTAGACTCCAGATCTTTAGTTTGGTCCCTTCTACACCAGAGACCAGGTCTTTGGTTCGCCTCACCACAACACCAAATCTTTGGTACCATTTTATCATTGGTGATAGTGGCATGTCATGCAAACTTGAAAGTGAATGGCGGTGGTAGAGCGATTGTGATTGGTGGAGTCAAATTGAGCGGATCAGTTCAAACTAGCCTACTTAGTTAAGCCGTAATAAAATATAATTTGGTATAAAATAAATTTTTTTCTCAACATTCAAGTGAACTAACTAGTCAAAATAACTCCAATTATTGCATGTAATGAAAATTAATCTTAATCGCTTCTTTTCAAACCTTAAAATTAATTTTAGAACGTGTGTTACAATATGAAGGACGCCGAAGCCGTCTTTAAAAAAATGTTTTTATTCTTTTAATATTAATGGGCCCATGAACCAGTCCACTTGGATTACGGATCGATCCGCTTGTCACCTTTCCCAGACAGGCCATGCCAGGCCCATTCAATTTGACACCACTAGTTGTGATGGTGGTGGCGGCGATGATCCTAGAGTGAAGGTGGTTGCGATGCTAGAGCCATGATGTAGTTATGGTGGATTGTGAATGGTGTCAAGCAGATGTACGCATGACTAGTGGTGGTGGAAGGTTGTGATGGTTTCCCTTGTCGCGGTTTGATGTTGGGAGGTGGTAGTTTGTTGGTTATTAGTGCTGGGTGGTGGTAATTTTTGTTGGATTTGGTGTTAAGTGGTGGTGGTTTGCAGCAAGTATGGCATGTTAAAGAAGAAGATGGTTAACTGGTTGCCAGTATAAGGATGTTTTTGGACAATTGTTTTGAACCTTTGAATTTATAACGCAATATATACGAGTTCAAGAAGTACATAATGGACATTGAATCTCAACAAACTCAATTTCAACCATCAAAAAATAGAATGATCCCAACATTTGAATATGAAGGGGCACATTCAAACAAACAATCCACATGGAGCGTATCCCAACCTTTGAATACGACGTTCAAACAAACGATCCAGATCCAATGTATGCAGCACGACATATTGGAAAATGCATTAAAAAGGTCATTATTAGTGAGTAGTTTCATCTAATCGCGCATTAACTATCACTAATGCACATAAAAAACTTGGAAATTGCAGTACTTATTTCTTATCTCAAGTCCACAAATTCGTCACTTAATATAAATAGTCGAACTTGAACTTCAAGGATTATTTTGGATTAGATTATCCAATCTCACATTTTCGTCAAAATATCGGAACACCAAAACAAGAAAGTGGGGTAAAATATCTCATAAAAAAATCATTTGTAGGCTCACTCAAAAAAGAATCTAAATTAAGTCCTAAAATCTAACATAAATAATTAGTCTCGAAATTCGATATCTATTTCTTATATATGAAATATTCATCTAAACTAACATTCTAAAGAAGCGAAAAGTATATGCTAATCAATAAAACATGAGTAGATAACAAAATCAATTAATGACTGCCGCTTGTCGTCAACTAAAAAGACTCATTTACTCCTAAGGCCTAATAAATATCTATAAATAGGCATGCTTGAGATGAAGAATGCAATGTTGAATTTGAGTAGTTACGTCCCAAATAGTCTTCTCTCTTCTTACTCTCTATTCAGAGGCAGTGTTACGAGGGGTTAAAAAAAAAAAATCTACTAAGCTGCTGCATAGAAAACATTAAAATTAAATGGGCCTTGGGGTCGTTTCCCTACGGCCTGTCACTATTGAATAAAAATAAGTTTAGAAAGGAAAACACTGCATATGTGAGAAGATATGATTAACCTTGTGCTACATTGAGAATTAATGACGAAACATACCTCGATAAACTGTATAATTTATTTCGAAGTGCTGTTTGGTTTCTGAAACCAGGCGATTTAGAATTGCACGGTTGGTCAACTTTAGGGCATGCTCCAGTCTTGAATTTACAACAAAAAGTCAACTAATGAGTTCGAGGTTGAATTTAAACAGGCACCTAGAAAGGGATAAGGAAAAAAATAAGAACGTGCACAAACCTTTTGTTTTTCGTGTTATTTTTTAATCCAAAATTTATTGTTCCATTGTCTCAAAAAGTTATTATGGAATGGGATGGGTGGAGGTGGTGGTGGTGGTGGTTAGAGTGGGAAGAAGGTGCTAGTGGAGTTGAAGTGCAAAGGGATGACTGTGGTGTTCGGTAGAGTGGGAAGAAAATGCATTTTTGTTCGTACTTTACGTAAGTGATCATTTGTGAAAATCTTTAAAAAAGCGACCATTTTTAAATGTCCCACTTGAAAATGGACATTGGGTACAATTTTCCTACAAGGGTATGTCTTGCAAGGTAAACATAATTAGGGTAAATGAATATGTAAGTAGTATTATAAAATTTACGAAATTGTGAATAAAAAGTAATTGAATAAAAAATATTTATTTTACCCAAGTGTGTAAAAAAACCTTGATAACCATACATTTAGAGAATACCGTTTTGAATAGTATTTTTAAAAGAATGTAGGGAAATTTTTTGAATTTACGGCAAAATATTTCATTTTATGAATATATGATTGAAAATAAATATGTAGAAAAAATAGTTTTCTAACATGGACTAAATCATCAAATGGGTTTTAGCCTTTTAGGGCCTAAACCCTAAATACTTTATGGGAACAATACATATATAAGGTATTTAAGTATCACAATTTCAAAATTAAGGATATATATTTTAAATTTCAAAAATCAGGTTTTCATTAAAATTTATTTATAGTTTAATTAATTATATATTTTAATAATGAATATATAAATTTCACAGATCTATGCAATGTGGTCACAATTCAAAAAATTTATAAGTCATAGTTCGTTCATCGGTCACAAATTAAAAATGTTTAAATCACAATTTGATCATCGATCACAAATCACAAAATTTATAAGTTACACAAGTTATTTTATGGTCACAAAATATCAAATTATAGGTCACATATTACTTTTATTGGTCACAACTCGATTATAACTTAATAAAATGTGAGTTACAGTCACAATTTTTAGGTCACACATTATTAATT